TTTCTGTGTTTTCTTTGGTTTGTCTCCCAATCCTTTGAAGATACTTAAATATAATTCTTTTGAATTCCTTATCAGAGAGTTCCAGTGCTGCTTCTTTCTCAGGGATGTGTTCTGGGTCTGTATCCTGCTCCCTTGTTTCTACCACTTTATCCTGCTTCTTAGTGTGGACTGTGATGGTCTGTTGTGTCCGAGGCATCGTGGTGTTGTTCTTTGTTAACTGTTTGTGAAGAGCAGTCAAGGGTGATTCCGGCTCTTCTTGGTGGTTTTTTATCATTGTCCCGTTGGTGGAGAAGGTGGTAGTGGCTCTCACTCAGTAAGTGAAGTTGCAGGAGTTGTGGGTGTAGTTGTGTCTTATGGGGACTGTTGTTGTTCCCTACTCAATTAGACTCCAATTACAATGGAATAACCTTCAAAAAACGAAAAGCACATGGACAAAAAACACGCCATATAATCACACAGGAACAGTAACAGAAAAAAGAAAAAAGAGAAAACGAAGAAGAAAAATCAAGAAAACTGCAATATCTGGGGATAGGGCACTAAGAGAAAAAAGTAGAGAAGGAGAATAATGAAGGTAAAAGAAATGGGAAAAATGCAAAGAGAAAAACAAGGAACGGGGTTAACCACAAGAAAAAAGGGGTAAATAGAAAAAAAAAATAAAAAAAAAAAACATTCAACCAGGAACAAGGAAAAGAAAAAATGCTGAAAACTAGGACCTGGGAGCGGAAGAGTAAGAATAATAGTAAAAAGGACAAAAGTATTAATAATAATAATTGTTTTAAAACAGACAAATACAAGCAAACTAATCACCAGAAAAAAGAAAGCGAAAAAGAAATAAATAAAAAAAGAGAAAATAAGAATGTATCAGTCGAGGGACAGGGCAGGGCCCCCAGGCTCTGTCTGAGCACACAGACTGTGATGGAGTTCCTGTGGGCCCAGAATATAGGTGGGACCGGGGGATGGCTGCACCTCCGTTCACCAAGTGGGTGTGGGGTATAAGAGTAACAAGAGGAATGTGGTACATTTTCAGTCTTGCAGGTCTGGAGTGACCTTGGCGTTGCTGGAAAGCAGAACTTGTTCTTAAGCCCCAGGAATCTCTGAGCGGGCTGTCTATTTAAATATCCAAAATAGTCATGCCTCTTTCAAACCTTCATAATGGCGGCACCCTCCAGACCAGCAAAAGTCCACAGCTCAGCACGCCTTTCTCTTCACCTTCTCCGTTCATTCCCCAGCCACCGAAGCAGTCCTGCATGCAGTCCCTGCCTAGCAGGGCTGATTTTTAGGTTAATTCTTAGGTCTTACCACCACTCGGGAATCTCCAAGCTGTCTGTGCCGTCAGAATTGCTCAGGATCACTGCCAGACCGTAGCTCCATATATCTCCTTTTTTGGTATTTTCACGCAAATTCTTCTGCTAGTTGGGGTTTAGTCCACTTATATATCCTTCCCTTCAAGGCTCAGGGGTCCAAGATTATCTTCTGTGTCTGTGTTAATTGGTTTCCCTTTTCTTTGTTGAAGAGGGTCTGTGCAGTCTTTCTGCCTAGTCTGCCATCTTTCAAATATAGTTTTTTTGTTGTTATTGTTGTTAGGTGCCATTGAGTCAGTTCTGACTGAAAGCGATCCTGTGTACAACAGGACAAAATGCTGCCCGTGCCTGCACCATCCAAACACTCATTGCTGTGCTTGAGCCCATTGCTGCAGCCACTATGTCAATCCATCTTGTTGAGAGTCTTCCTCTTTTTCCTGGCCCTGTACTTAAGCAAGCATAATGTACTTCTCCAGCGAATGGTCCCCCCTAATAACATGTCCAATGTTTGTGAGATGAAGTCTCAACATCCTTGCTTCTAAGGAGCATTCGGGCTGTACTTCTTCCAAGACACATTTATTCGTTCTTCTGGCAGTCCATGGTATATTCAGTGTTCTTTGCCAACACCATAATTCAAGGTATCTGTTCTTTTGTCTTCTGAATTCATTGTCCAGCATTCATATGCATGTGAGGTGATTGAAAATACCATGGCTTGGGTCAGGCGCACGTTAGTTCACAAAGTGACATCTTTGCTCTGTAACACTTTAAAGAGGTCCTTTGCAGCAGAGTTGCCAAATGCGATGTGTCATTTGATTTCTTGACTGCTGTTTCCATGGACATTGATTATAGATCCCAGTAAAATGAAATCCTTGACAGTGTCCATCTTTTTATCATATAAACTAAATTTACGTAATGTGATTTTCTTTTAAAATGTGATATGCTTTGTATACCTGCATGTATTCAATAGGTATTGAGATCAGAATATGGACTTTAAAAAAACTTTTTGCATTATATTCTTAACTTTTTAGTCAGGACAGTTTTTTTAGACATACAAAAATAGGAAGAAGAGTGTAATGTAACTTCGAAAGTCATCGGTTTTGCCACCTTAATTGAACGTAAGTAGTACGTTTCTTCTAAATCTGACAGTATTTTCTGAACCGAATTGGGCAGCCCCTTCTAATTCTACCATAAACCCAGTGTAACGCGCTTTCTAAATATACCAAAGAAATCTTATAATTGTATATAATCTCATATAGTCTAAGATAAACATTGTCCTGCTTTTATGGTTGAGTTGTCTGGATTGATACTGTCCTCTGCTTCTTCAAAGGTGGAAGGGACAGCATATTTAAGTTCTTTTCTGTGGAAATCTCACAAATCTGGGTTGTGGGAAAAGCCTCGAGGCCAGAACCTGTTAGATGGCGGAGCCCCTTTCTATACAACTTACCAGACGGCTGATGGGGAGTTTATGGCCGTTGGAGCAATAGAACCCCAGTTCTATGAGCTGCTGGTCAAAGGTAGGTGACCTTTGCATGCTGCCACCACACCCTCCATTTCCCTGTGGATGTTCTTTAGGCCCTATTTTGGGACATTTTGAAAGTCACAGTGACTTTTTCTTACATGTCTACATTCTAAGTAACTTAACGGTAGCCATCATTCCATTTTGGGTCATTTCCCCCATCTTTTAAATTGACAGATAATTTTACTAGTCTATAAAGCAGTAAAGTTCAGGATTTTAAAAAATAATAATCCCTTTTGGGACATTCAGTGTTGTTATTTCATTTCTTACTCAGTATTGTTTGAAACTTGTCTTACCCTTGATATGCCCAGACCTTATTCTTTCCTAGAAATGACCTGCTAATTCTACTAGCTCATGTTTCTTGGTAGACCACTCTTAGGATTCTTCAGTGGCAGGTGACCCCAGAGCATGCAAACAGTCTGACAGGTGAGGCTTTGCTGGAGTGTTTTACTGTCCCTTGATGTTTCTTCAGGTTGCCTCTTGCGCCGTGTCTTGTCTTACTGGCATGTTGCCACAGGAAAGCGGGACAATTTGGAAGATGTTCATGCGGTTTTATTTTCTTCCTGTGTGATAATGTCAGATGTTTGAATTTAAAGTTAATTCTGCACGTAATTTAGTATCTAAGAATATTTAAGATAACGCTATGAAGTGGTGTGACAAACTGGTCATGGCGCATTTATCTTCCTGCTTTAAGTTAGGTAGCTTTTCAAATGCAATATATTACTCAGTTATTTTTATATAACTAGAATGAATGTTTTTACAGACTTCTGAAAGCATTTTATGATCAACTGTATTAACTTCATCAGCTTAAATACAGTTGGAAGAATAGTGGAAGAATGATTTATTATCTATATCAGGTGCCTTCTGTCTAGAATTAAAAAAAAACACCAAAACTTATTGCTGTCCAGTTGATTTTAATCATGGTGGCCCCTTGTATTACAGAGTAGAACTGCTCCATAGGATTTTCTTGGCTTTAATCTTTTCTAGAGCGCATTACTAGGCCTTTGTTTCATTGTACCTCTGGGTGATTTAAATTGCCAGCCTTGTGGTTAGTAGGCAATGCAAACTATTTGTGCCACCCAGGGACTAAAACTAAGAATGTGTTGTTGTTATGTGCCGTCAAGTTGGACCTGACTCATAGCGACCCCTCCTTGGGTTTCCAAGACAGTATCACTACAGAAGTAGATTGCCCAACCTTCCTTCCAAGGAGTGTCTGGTATGTTTGAACCGCCAGTCTTCTGGATAGCCGTCAAATGCCTTAGGCACTACGCTACCAGAGCCCCTAAAACTAAGAATAGAAGGTCTTAATTCAAAATTCGGAAGTGAACAGTGCTATGGTAAGGCCAGGGTGGGAGTGATATGCTCTGGGTGTATGGTCTATAGAGAACCGAAATGCAATTGTACTGTTGTCTGTACTTCAGACCGCTTTATTATCACCATGCAGCAGTTCTAAATGACCCTGATTAAATAAACACCTCTCCCCAAAATTTATTTTTCGGTCTGAGCTCCAGATAGTTGTTATAGCTACTGCTAAGTTCTGATAACAAACATATAAACTGTAGTAGCACATTGTTGTTACTTATCAATTAGTGAAAGGGGCTCTGGTGGTGGTGTGGTTAAAGCATCAGGCTGCTAACCAAAAGGTCGGCAGTTCGAACCTATCAGCCACTCTGCAGGAAGATGATGAGACAGTTTGCTTCTGTAAAGATTTACATGCTTAGAAACCCAATAGGGCATTTCTACTCTGAACTGAAGGGTCACTGTGAGTTAGAATCAACCTAATGGCAATAGGTTTGATTTGGTGCTTTGGTTTTTTATTCTTCAGTAAACCTTGAACTCTACATAGAAGTGAATTCAGAGAACTCCCAGTTACAGAGTCTGACCCCAACATATATGGTTCATTTCTAGAGTAAAAGTTCAGAATCATTTGAGCTCACTGTGGGGATAATTTGTCTCTCCTGTCCCTCCATGGTACTATCTATTCCTGCATTTAAGTAGTAGATTCAAAAAAAAAAAAGAAGTTATATATAAGTCATTGTGAAAATCAAGAAGTAGAACTGGAGTTACTACATTTTGTCTTTATGTGATACTTGGAGTTGTTTATTTGTGTAAAATTAACTTAGTGAAACTAAACTACAAGGGATGATTTGGTGAGTGTACTTTTTTTTTTAGCTCATATCTGAAATATTTTATTGAATCGTGAATATTTTTAAACTTGAATTTTCTTTTTTAAATAACTTTATGTTTTAAAACAAAAGAATAAACAAGAAAATGAATGTTTCAATAGTGACATAGCAGTTATCTAAATTGTATCTTTTGCAGATATTTTAAGGTAAGGCTCAAAAGCAGAAAACATAACATGATTATTCAGGGATCAGCAAGCCACAGCCGAGGGTCTTGCTTTTGTGTATAAAGTTTATAGGAACACAGCCCTGTCCTGTTGGTTTGTATATTGTCTGTGGCTGTCTTCCCTCCCTCTCAAATATTTTATTGTGTTTTAGGTGAAAGTTTACTACAAAGCAAATTAGTTTCCCATTCGGCAGTTTATACACACATTATTCCGTGGCGTAGGTTGCGATCCCCACAATCAGCACTCTCCCCGCTTCCACCTCTGGGTCCCATTTCTGTTGGCCCACTTTCCTGCCCCTTCCTGCCGTATCATCTTTGCTTTGGTGCAGGTGCTGCCCTTGTAGTCTGCGGTAGTTGATTGTCCTGAGGAGCACGTTCCTCTTGGGTGTTACTATTCCCTTTATAGGCCTATATTTTACGTGGCTGCCTTCTGAGCCTCTGAAGGGTGCAGTCAATGCCAGCTGGAAGGTTGGGGGTTCAAGTCTGCCCAGAGGTGTCTGGTAAGAAAGGCTGAAGAATCAGCCATTGAGAAAACATGGAGCATAGTTCCACTCTGACACACACGGGCTTGCCATGAGTCAGAGTCAGCTCTGTGGCAACTGGTTGGCTTTTGGCTGTTTTCTGACAAGCAGAGCTGAGTAGCTGCGACAGAAACTGAAAAGGCAAAAATAATTACTGTCTTGCTCATTACAGAAGTTTGCTGACTCCTGTTATTACTCAGTTCTGTGAGGGACTGTTGTTGTTATGTGCCATGGAGTCAGACCCGACTCATAGCGACCCCTCCTTGTGTTTCCAAGGTGGTATCACTATGGAAGTAGATTGCCCAACCTTCCTTCCGAGGAGTGGGTGGTGAGTTTGAACTGCCAGCCTTCTGGTTAGCAGTCAGGTGCCTTAGGCACTACGCTACCAGAGCTCCCCTATGAGGGACTAACATGTAAATATAAGTCCTCCCTTTTTCAAAAACTACGTTAATGCAATTAAAAAATATCAGTCCTGTTTTTCCCTATTGTACTATAATATTTATTTTACTATTCATATTTTATCAGGAACTCTGGTGGCACAGTGATTAAAGTGTTAAACTGCTAACCAAAAGATTGGCAGTTTGATCCCAACAGCCACTTAGTGGGAGACAGATGTGGCAGCCTGCTTCTGTAAAGATCATAGCCTAGACTATGGACTATTCCACCCTGTCACACAGATCAGTAGGAGTCAGAATTGACAATGGACAGTGAGTTTTTTGTATTTTACATGTAAAAGAAATATATTATTAGTAATGTTCCTAAAACTTTAATAAATATTTCATATTTATAAAAGATAGAGAAAACATTTTTAAATTAGTTTCACTGGCACGATTATAAAAAGTTCAGTGAAGGAAAAATTTCCCAGTCTGTTTCTTTTCTCACCATGTTTATTACTGGTTTCATTCCTAATTGCCACCGAGAATAATTTTGTTGTGTAGAAGATGATGATATATTCCATGTATCAGTTTTATTAAGTTTACTCTTAGAGGTCAATATATTGTATTATGTAATGTTATGTGAATTGCTAAGTTATTGTTATCGTACGACAGCACAGTAAATGCCCCAAATAGAGAACTGGAAATTGTTTTGTGTACTCATTTTATTAGGAAGATGGGGGCTGTGAGTTCTTGTTGCTGTTGTTTTAAGTAAAGATGATTGAGCTTTACTGTCTGTCCCTGTAAGGAGCTTTGGTGGTGCAGTGGTTAAGGCATTTGGGTGCCAACCAGAAGGTCTGTGGTTCAAACCCACCAGCTGCTTTGTGGGAGGAAGATGAGGCAACCTGCTTCCCTAAAGATTTATAGCCTGGGAAAGCCCCTGGGTTGCCCTGAGTAAGAAGGACTTGATGGCTATGGGCATCTATCTGTCTCTGTATTCTTGCTCATAGCAAAATAGAGAGAAATGAATACTGTTTATGAAGCAGCAATTCTGAGTATAATTATTTTAGGTTTCTTCCTTGAAAACTGAGATAGTCATATTTATGGTTGCTTAAATTTTATCTTTTTAGGATTTGAGCACATCATATTAAATACGAGGTTTTAATTCAGTATGACATAATAAGAAAATTTCTTATTATAATAAGATAATAAGAAAATTTCTTTTTCAAAGCCTACTCAGAGGGGAAATCGATTTCTGGGAACTAGACCATTGAAACTAGACAACTTTTGATGAAAGGAGAGTCTGGTTTGAAGTCCTGCGTGCCCCGCACCCCCCAATCCCTTTCTAGCTTTAGGCTCTAGCTTCATCCTGACCTTGGTTGTTTCCCTTGACTCATTCCAGAAACCCTGTGTTGTTTTTAGGTTCCGTCAAGTTGATTCTGACTCATAGCAACCCTGTGTACAACAGAAAGAAATGCTTTCAGGTCCTGTGTCGTCCTCACAGTTATTGCCATGTTTGAGGCCATTGTTGCACCATTGTATCAGTCCATCTTATTGAAGGTCTTTCTCGTTTCTCCTCACCCTCTACTTTACCAAGCATGATACCCTACTCCAGGGGCTTGACTGTTCCAATAACATGACCAAAGTAGGGGAAATGAAGTCTCATAATACTTGCTTTTAAGGAGCATTGTGGCTATACTTCTTCCAAAATAGATTGTTCTTCTGAAAGTCCATTGTATATTCAATGTCATTTGCCAACACCATCATTCAAATGTGTCGATGCTTCTTTAGTCTTCCTTATTCATTGTCCAGCTTTCATATGCATGTTAGGCAACTGAAAATAGTCATGGCTTGGGTCAGGCTCACCTTAGCCTTCAGAGTGACACCTTTGCTCTTTAACACTTTAAAAACATCTTTTGCAGGAGATTAGCTCAATGCAGCCTGTTGTTTGACTTCTTGATTGCTGCTTCTGTGGGCCTTGATTGTAGATGAAAGTAAAAGGAAATCCTTGACAACTTCATGCTTTTCTTAATTTATCATGGTGTTGGCTTATTGGTCCACTTGTGAGGATTTTGGTTTTCTTTATGTATAATCTGTAATGAAGGCTGTAGTCTTTGATCTTCATCAGTAAATGCTTCAAGTCCTCTTCGTTTTTAGCAAACAAGGTGGTTTCATCTGTATATTGCAGGTTGTTAATGAGTATTCCTCCAACCCTGATGCTGAATTCTTCCTCTTATAACCCGGCTTCTCAGATTATTTGCCAGCATACAGATTGAATAAGTATGGTGAACAGATACAGCACTGGCACACACCTTTTCTGATTTTAAACCATGACTGTCCCCTTTGTTCTGTTCGAACGACTGCCTCTTGGTCTGTGTACAGACCTTGGGAGGTTCCTTGGGAGTACAATTAAGTGTTCCAGAATTCTCATTTTTTTGCATTGTATCGATAATTTGTTGTGATCCTCACAGTCAAATGCCTTTGCATAGTTAGTAAAACACAGGTAAACATCTTTCTGGTATTTTTTGCTTTCAGCCAAGATCCATCTGACGTCAGCAGTGATGCCCCCTTGTTCCACATATTCTTCTAAATCTGGCTTGAATTTCTGGCAGTCTGTGTACTGCTGCAACCATATTTGAATTATCTTCAGCAAAATTTTACTAGCATACGACATTAATGATTTTTTTTTATAATTTCTGTATTCTGGTGGATCACCTTTCTTTGGAATGGGTACAAATATGGATCCCTTCCAGCATGCTAGCCAGGTAGCTGTCCTCCAAATTTGTTGGCATAGGTGAGTCAGCACTTCCAGTGTTACATCCATTTGTTGAAACATCTCAGTTAGACTTTCATCAATTCCTGGAGCCTTGTTTTTCGCCAATGCTCTCAGTGCAGCTTGGACTTCTTCCTTAAAAACCATCAGTTCTTGATCACGTGTTATCTCCTGAAATGGTTGAACATCAACCAGTTCTTTTTGATAAAATGAGTCTGTATATTCTTTCTGTATATTGTATATAACTTATTTTGATGAGTCCTGCTTTGTTTAATATTTTGCCCATAGAATTCCCTCAATATTGAACTTGAGGCTTGAATTTTTTGCCTAGCTCTTTCATCTTGAGCAATGCTGAGCATGTTCTTCCCTTTTGGTTTTCTAACTCCAGGTCTTTGCACATTAGGATACTTTCCGTATTCTTCTCGAAACCCTATAGAACAACATCTTATATGGGACAATATGGTGAGTTTAAAACTTGTTTTCATTGAGAATTTTTTATCCCCCTCAGGGCTTGGGCTAAATTCTGCTGAACTTCCTGATCAGATGAGCGTGAATAATTGGCCAGAAATGAAGACAAAATTTGCTGCTGCATTTGCGAAGAAGACAAAGGCTGAGTGGTGTCAGATATTCGATGGCACAGATGCCTGTGTAACCCCTGTGCTGACACTTGAGGAAGTTGCCCGTCACGATCACCACAGAGAGAGGGGCTCACTTATCACTGATGAGGAGCAGGGTGAGAGTCCCCGCCCTGCACCTCTGCTATCACGCACCCCCGCTGTTCCTTCTTTCCAAAGGGATCCTTTCGTAGGAGAACACACGGAAGAGATACTTAAGGAGTTTGGGTTCAGCAAGGAGGAGATTGCTCATCTTAACTCAGCTAACATTATTGGAAGTTATAAACAAAGAGCTAGTCTCTAACTTCTAGGCCCACAGCTCCTGTGAATTTGAATATGGCATTTATATAGTATCCAGGAATACATATGATCGTGTACCTAGAATGTGAAGGAACAGTGTCGCAGTAATTGACTCTTTGAATCAAGAAATCACAAAAGACTCTTGATATGCAGTAACAATCGAATTCTAATAATGGCTAACAGAAGCCTTTTGAGTTAGGAATGGTCTCACGCCTTCCAGCTTACCTGATGGAATACTTTTGTTGATCTTATGGGAGCTCTGGTAGCATAGTGGCTAAGGCACCTGACTGCTAACCAGAAGGCTTGCGGTTCAAACCCACCAGCCTTTCCTTGGAAGGAAGATGGGGCAATCTACTTCTGTAGTGATACTGCCTCGGAAACCTAAGGAGGAGTCACTATGAGTCGGGTCCGACTTGACAGTACATAACAACACAACCACAAGATATAATATATTTTAAATGAATTATTATAATGTACTTTATAAATAAAGCTTTCATTTTTCCTAAGGTTTACTTGTGTTGATAAATTTGTGAAATGATTTCAAGAAAGTTTTGAAAATAGCATTTTGTGACCCATTGAAACATTTCGGGCTCTTCTATTTACCAAAGTGGATGTCTTTTAGATGGAAAATCCTGACCATTTTAATTCGACAAGGGAATCATTCATTCAGTCTTTGAATTGGAATTTTCTATCAGAAAATGCTCTTGAGGTTTCCTCTGATGTCTCTGACCTGTCCATTCAGACGGCCCTTCTGTGCATAGCAGCTGGCCAGCATCCCCAAACGTGTCCCTTTTTCTCAGTAAATTGCACTGTCATCCATTTAAAATACCGTAGACTCCTCCTTCTTTCTTGTTTGCTTCCATTCTCATCACATCTTCTCTTCCTGATGGTCCCACAGCTCACTTCTCGCTTCTTCAGGCTACTGCCCAAATGTGACCTCACAGAGAGTCCTTTTCTGATACTTAAAATAACAGCCACCTCTTCACTTGCCAGCCCCTCACTCTGCTTTATTTTTCTCCATGGTGCCTGTCACTACTGACGTTACCAGCCCCAGGCTGCTTCCCTTCTCCACCAACCCAGACTTCCATTCGGAAGCTTTCTGAGGACAGTGCTTTGTAGGTTTTACTCATTGCCAATTTTCTAGTTCCTAAGAGTGCCTGGCCCATGATAGAAACTTGGTAAATACTTATTAAATGAATGAATCTCAGTGTCAAAGTATTGTTAGTCCCACCTGAATAGCTCTCACATCCATCCCCTCTGCCCAAGTTCCATTACAACTGAATATAAAAGATTCACAATAAACATAGAAATATCTAAAGTATGTTAAGTGCAATGAAGGAAAACCTCCAGTTGGTAGAAGACAGCTGGTGACTTGGGGAAGGGTGTGTTCTCAGTCCATTTTGAAGTATAGCTTTACCTCCTGAGCTGTGTGTTTAGAAAGCTTGTGGTCAGAAAAGGACAGAATATGCTTATGAAGGAAATATGTAAAAAGATACCAACTCATAGTTTGACTTAATACCCGTGTAATAGGGCTTTACTGTTTCAAAGCTGTGTGTCAGAATTAGAGAGAGAGTGTGTGTGTGAGTGTGAGTGAGAGAGAGAGAGAGACAGTGTGTGAGAGAGGACAAAGAGTGATCCCTTTAGGAGAACCTGGGGAGGCGAGGCTCGCAGTTGCTAATCTCTGTCATGCTTTCTGGCACCCCCTTCTCTCTCGTCATAACTTGTGATCTTGGAGGCATGAAAGAATTTTGGCCCCTCCTCCAGCCTGAACGTCTCTACAGGCTGCTCAGCCAGCCAGGCTCCATGTCAAATCCACCTTGGAGCACAGACCCAGGGACCACGCAGGAGTTGGTGGGCTTGCTAGACGGTTCTTCACTCAGTGGCCATGGGTGGCAACAGTAGCCAGGGTGGCATTCATACCTATAGATCCCTATGTGAGGCTGGCCCCTCTGACTCCATGAAGCCACCTAAAAGGCCCACGGGCAGACTGGTCATGCACAGCATGGCCATGTTTGGCCGGGAGTTTTGCTACGCAGTGGAAGCAGCTTATGTGACCCCGGTCCTGCTCAGCGTGGGCCTGCCCAAGAGTCTGTATAGCATGGTGTGGCTTCTCAGCCCCATCTTGGGGTTCCTGCTGCAGCCCGTGGTCGGGTCGGTCAGTGACCACTGCCAGTCCAGGTGGGGCCGGCGGAGACCCTACATCTTCACCTTGGCTGTCATGATGCTCTTGGGCATGGCTCTGTACCTCAACGGGGATGCCGTTGTATCAGGTAAGTGGACGACACACAAGGCGGGGGCAGACAGGCCCATGTCCTAGTAAGCATCTCACTAGGAGGAGAACATGAGTTTCTTTATCTAACACTTAGAACTTGATCAGAACTGATTGAGGTTACAGTGGACCTCCCACCTTTGAGTGGCTCAGAATCTGTGGTTGGGGAGCCTTTGCTTTTAGAAATATCCATTTGCATTGCAATGTTTTAATTGTTAGGAAGATTTAAAGATAAGATTAAATTTTTATCCATTGTATCAAATTAAATATTTAAAAATACATATCAGCAGAAATTTGTATTGAGCCCATTTTGCTCCCTGTTAATACTTTGTTGATTGACCAGCTGCCAAATGGCTTCATAAATATGTATAATAAATACCTCTCTGTCTGAACAAGAGTTCATTCTGTTCACAGCTTTATGTAGAATTTCCAAAGGGGTGCAGGGCATCAGGTGGTCAGCTCAAGGAGACATTTTTGCATTGCAAATTCTGGACAAAATCAAACCTGATGGTTTTCTAGCCATTAATCAGCCACCAGTGAATCAGTAATTTGGTAGTGGTACATTTAAAGTTGCTTTGAGACAGGGATTGTTAAAAATAGTAATGTTTTTAGACTATGAGCTCTCAAGCTGTGGGACTGGATGATAACAAGACAGGATAATTATGATTTGTGTCGATTAAAAACAAAAGTTGGATATTTCTGGAGGAATCCACACACACAAAAACAGGTAAGAGTAGTTGCCTTTTGGGATGAGAACTAAAGGACTGGATGTGAGAAGTGGAGAGTGGACTTACGTTTCATTTATTTTTATCCTGGAATTATTTTAAATTAATTTTTTTTTACTAAGGTGAGTAGAACTACCTTCTATAGTATCTAAGGCTGTAATCTTTACAATAAAAGATTCCCACGTCTGTCTTCCATGGAGCAGCTGGTGGGTTTGAACTGCCAACATTTTGGTTACCAGCTGAGCACTTAACAATTGTACCACCACATGCTCGCTCGCTTGCTCTCTCTCTCTCTCTCTGTATATATATATTTGCACACACATATGTAAACAAAAAATTACCATTTCAGCATTTTCACATATAAAATTCAGTGACATTAAATACTTTCATCATGTCCTGGGATTTTTTTTTTTTAACGTGCATAAAGAAAAAAAAAACCTCAGTTACTGTTAGGTTGATTGCAACTTACGTTGATCCCTGTGTGTCTGAGTAGAACTGTACTCCATAAAGTTCACAATACTGATTTTTTGGAAGCACACTGCGAGGCCTTTCTTCCAAGGTGTCTGTGGGTGGCCTTAAACCTTCAACCTTTTCACTAGCAGCTCAGCATGTTAACCATTTGCACCAACTGAGAGCAAAGGAAGCAACAATTTTTCTTCAATAGAAGATTTGGTGAATGAATTGTTACATATCCATAGAATGAATATTCATCTGTTAAAAATTTTGCAGTAGCTCTTGATTAATTGAATGAAAAGATATAGAGATAGTTGATTGTTGTTGTTATTTGCCGTCGAGTCGGCCCTGACTCATAGCGACCCCTCCTTGGATTTCCGAGGCAGTATCACTATGGAAGTAGGATTGCCCAACCTTCTTTCCGAGGAGTGGCTGGTGGGTTTGAACTGCCAGCCTTCTGGTTAGCAGTCAAGTGCCTTAGGCACTATGCTACCAGAGCTCCTAGATAGTTGATTATAGATGAGCATATATAGCATGCCCCCATTAGTCAGTGCCACTTGAAGTATGGTCCCTGGACCAGTAGCACTGGCACCATCAAGGGGCATGTTAGAGATACAGATTCTCAGACCCCCATCAGACCTACTGAATCAGAAGCTCTGGGGATGGGGCCCAGCAAGCTGGGTTGTTCCAAGCCCTCCAGGTTATGTTTAAGCTAATGCTTGAGAAGTGCTGCTTAATGTACACCTGTAACTGTATGTATGTAAATGCCCAAAGGGATGTCTGAAAGGTTGACCATCACTGGGAGCTAGGATTTGAAGGATTTTCCCCCAGCTTTTCTATATCATTGCAATTGTTTACAATTAGCATGCATAATTTTTAAACAAATTAACTAAGTTACAATTTGCATACCATGCAATTCACCCACTTAAAGTGAGAAATTCAGTGGGTTTTAGTACATTCACAGAGTTGTGCCACCATCACCACAATTGAGTTTTAGAACTTTTTCATGACTCCAAGAAGAAATTCTTACCTAACAGCAGCCACTCTCCATCCCTCTCCCTCTGGCCCTAAGCAATCACTAATCTACTTTTTGTCTGTACGGATTTGCCTATTCTGGAGCTTAGAATGCATAATTTTTTTTTTTTTTTTTTTTTA